TGTGGGCCCCTTGCCACACGCATGCAGGTCCACGCACGGGCAGGCACAGATTCAGGCTCTCGGTGATTCTTCCTGTGACAGACGTAGGTCACGGAAGGGCCCACGTTTCCAGTGCTCCTCACAGCTCGGATACCCGGAGAAGTGTGACGCTGCGATAAACGAGCCGCCTTAGGCCCCTCACACCCAGAGAATTTATATTTTAAAAGATATTTATAGTCCAGAGAAACACGAGTGGTTGGGATTTCACTTGAGAGTGCTGGGATGATTCCTGGCTCGTATTTAGCCAAACAAGTGGCCACTCCGGTCACGGCTGCTGTCCTGCACGCGCACCCCTCGTTCAGAGCAAACACAGAAACACGAAAGGCAAAAACAACAGGCGGCAACGCAGCGGGACCTGCCAGGCCTGTGGTTTTGCCTGCCTGGCTTTAATGTGTTCACAGTCCCCTCGTAAGTACTTCAAGGCTATGCATGTTCGCTGCCGTCTGCCGAGATGCATTTCCGGCATTCAGAGTGTTGTGGCAAGCTGAGAAGACAATGAACTTGAAGCTCGAGTCCAGCGTCGAAACTCCACTTTGTTGGCGTGTGAGTTATCGATCTTGGGAAGTGACTTTATCCTCCCTGAGCCTCGGTTCCTCCAACGCCCGTCCCCGGGGTCTTCCGCAGCGCGACGTGCGGCCGGCGTGGCGGCCGGCCGGAGGCGCAGCAGCCCCTCTCCCCGAGCACGGGGCGCTGAGCTGAGCTGACCGCCGCTGCTCCGTGACGCCGCTGTCGGTGGCTTCGGCCTCCTCCAACAGACAAAGAAACCGAGGCTTCTGGAGATGCTGCCGCTCCTGAGGGCCAAGCCGGGCCGACCCAGCACCCCCGAGCGCGAGAGCTGGCGCTCGCCTCCGCCGCGGGGCAGAGGGCAGGGTCGCAGCGGAGCCTGCCCTGGAGAGGCAGGAGAGGGTGGCCATAGAGGGGAGGGAGGGAGGAAGTGCGAGTTTGAGGGGTGCTGATTACTGAGGAGTGCAACTTCTAAAACGACAGGCTGAGCTGACCACACCTCACGCCACCGACCCTCGAGCTGGCGAGGCCTCGATGGCGCCTGGAGCGCACCGCGCAGGACGGCTCCCCAGGGAGCAGGGCAGCGCTCCGCCCAGAGGCACCTTCCGGCACCTTCCGACCAATCTCGCGTTTCTCGCCAAAGATGGTCTGACATTACAGTCCATTCCTCAAATGTAGTTAAAGCCCCCAAAGACCTAATTTTGGTCATTAGTAAATAAAGGTATGTACAAAACCCTAGCTGAGGCGATTAACTCAGTTCCAGAAAATTAATTCCTAAAAATTAAACAGAGGGAGAAGGGCTGCATGGAGCGGAGATGAGATTTAAGCCCTATTAACAGCGGGGTTAAGCCATGTGACTAATCGTGTTTGAAGAGCGAATGAGAGCCTGCCCCAGCGACGCGCCAGGCGGCTGCAGGGTCGCCCTCGCTGCGGCGAGCAGGCGCAGCCCTGGAGCCACCCCAACGCCCCAGCGACGCCGTCTCGACTGCACGGCAACTCTGGGCTCGCAGGCACGCGTGCTTATTCTCAGCCGGCGTCTCCCACGCCCGCTGCGGGCACCGGCCCTCTGCGGGCTCTCGGCCTCTTCCTCAGCCCAAGAAAGCACCACGCACGCCCGCTGCGCCCCGAGGGTGAGTACGCCCCTCGGTGGCCCTCTCCACCACCGTGTTCCTGTACCTGGCAGGCAACCAGCACGTCCAACAGCTGCTCATGGGCGACAGGCCCAGTCCAGCCCGCGGCTCCGGCAGAGGAGAGAGGCAGCACGCCCCACGACACAGAACGCGGCTCCGGCGGCTGCTGTCTCCTGCCCTAGACTTCTCTCTCACAAGCAGCAGCGGCCACTGCTCCTGTTCTTGTCACGGCACTTTTCTGCCTGCACGTGCACAAAGTTATTTTGAGGCCCTACTTAATGTCATCCTTTTAGATTCAGGCCATTGTCCCAGCTTGTTGAACCTTTTTGGACGCCAGTGCAGTGGTCCACCAGGGGCAGCCCACAGCGTGCCAGGTGCAGTGAGACCAACAGGGCCACACAGGTCGCCTTGCAAGAGCACAGCCTTCGTGTGTTCCCAAACCCGGAGGCACGCCTGCAGAACAAGACACGCCTGCAAAAATGTCCGCTTTGGCCTACGTGGTGGCTACAGAAAACCAAAACATGCACAATTTAGAGAGTTCAGATTTTAAAGATGTGAATTTTGATTTCTCTTGAACCATCCAAAAACCTGGCAACACAGGACCCATGTTTCTGCCAGGCCACACTTGGCTGGTGCTGAACAGAGGCTGTGCACGTCCGTGGTAGCCAACGCCTCAGTCTTGGGGGCTGGTATGTTGCAGGGGCTCAAGATGACAGGTGGTGGGAGGGAGGGCTGAGGGAGGCAGCAACTGGATGAGCTCCATGTGCCACTGCGAGAGGGGGGCAGAGGCCTCTCTTCTCCCTGCGACTGCTGCCCTGCAGAAGTCTCCCCTCCTCCTGCCTTCCTTGGAGTCCCACGGCCCAGCCTGCACAAGGCGCCGAGCGTGCGTCTCGAGTGTCTACCAGGAGGCGCGCCAGAGCTGCGGCTGCAACTCAGAGGCGCGAGGGCCTGTAGGTGCTCCCTGCCCTGCCCCGCGGGTGTGCTGGGAGGAGCCCCAGGCCCTGTGACGGGGTCACTCTCCAGACACCAGCATCTGACCACTGTAGCCCCATTATGCAGCCACAAGGAGTCACTCAGAAAGGAAACCCAGAGAGAGGCAGAAGAACACCTACTAACTTACCTACTAAGTGGGAACGTTCCAATGCTTTGGCCATAAAGCCCTGGGCAGGAACGGTATTTCCTTCCTCCCGGATGTTTAAGTATCTCTGCTTTTTCCTCCCTGTCCTTGCCTCGATCGTGGATCTTCGCTCTAGTGACTACAGTGACATGACCAAAGAGGTTTCCAATGGCCTCACTTTCCTCAGCTACCTTACAAAAAGCTTTATGCTGCTCCTTTTCCTACCAGCTGGGTTCTTCCCAGGGAATGAAGCCACTTTAGGCAGGCCCAATGCATCAGCCCCCTTCATCTACTTTGCCGCTACTACAGAGCTCCTGATGGCATGCTGGCCCGGCGGCACATCCTCTGACTTCACACGAAAGGAAAAGGAATTTCAGATTCTCTTCCCCTCAAGCAGAGGGCAAGGACCGGGCCCAGACCCCTTTGCGCAGCAACGTCTCCCGCCATGACCCTAGACCGAAGGGCCCTGGCAAGTGGCTGGAGCCTGCCTGGCACCTGCTACCAGCCCCGCCAGTGAAACGCTCTTTCATGAGATCAAAGGGCAGAACCAAGGGCAGATGCAGAAATGTCCCAACGAGCAGCTAAAAAAAAAAGAACAAAGAACAATAACTTTCTGCAAGTGGTGCTAATTGAGAAGCCTTCTTCCTGCTCTGGTGTGCCCCAGTAGGCGTGAGGAGTCTGGGTGACACAGACAGACACTGGTGCAATGCTCCTGTGGGGAACTAACCCAGATCCCAAGAAAAACACCAGCAGGCAAAATTCCCAGGTTTTCTTATTCTGCTTACAAACTTGGATAGTCTACGGGGGTGGAGGCCAGCTTTCTTGCCAGTGGCTGAGAGGGCCAGATAACATTTTCATGGTCTTATTTTAGGATGGGTGACTTTGTAAACAACCTCAGTGACAAATCCATAGTCGGTGTGTCTGGAACCTTATTTGTAACAGAAGTCACCAGGGAGGCAGACATCCCAGACGCACTTTAGGCATGTGACAGAGCGCCGAAGCCCAGCCAGTGCTGGCTCCCGGGCGGGGACACTTACCTCACCTTCTAAGTTTCGACAGTGCCACGACGGCCGCTCTGGAGGCCAAGGTCAGAGGGGAGCAGCCCTCGGAAGCCGGCAAACACCGGAAAGAAGGCCCATCTCCGAGAGCGCAGGCCCGCGGCTGTGCAGAAGAATGGCGCTGCCGGCCAAGGCCAGCCAGGGAGGAGAGGACGAGTCCAGTGGAAAGGCAAAGAGGCCGCTAAACTCTACAGGTCGAGGTCCTGGGAAGCCTCTTAGTACAGTGGCTTTGGCTCAGGCTCAGGACCCCGAGGCCAGCTGACACACACGCTCTGCCTCCACTTCCTCAGTGCAGAATAAAAGTATCATTTGTACTTAATTCACAGGGTTGGTTTGAGAAATGAACATAAAGATAAACACGGACCACTCAGAACAGTTCCTGGCACATGGAAGTCACTCAGTAAGAATCAGAGACTGCTTCTGCAACCGTCACCACCGGCCCTCACTGCTCTCCCTCCAGAGCCTGTCACCCACCCAGATCCACGCCCCGCCGACCAGAAGGGAAGAGCTGCCAACCCATTTCCCTGCCAGTTTCTCTGATAAGTTGACTTATTGGCTATTTGACCTTGGAAAAGTCACTGAAACTCTCAGTGGCTCAGTTTCCTGCCTGGGGGCAATGGCTGTGTAATATCACCTTCACAGACCTACTTTAAGATAGAAACAAGTTTGAAAAGGTAGCTCTCACTTGCAGGGCCAAGTGAAAACTGTTCTGCCTTGAGTAGATCAAATTTGAAGTCAGAACCACGACATAAAAACCTTTCAAGCATCTGTCTTGCAGTTCAAGTGGCCAAGTAAGCCTGGCGTTTTCACACCTAACTTATCTAGAATTATTAAGCAATGAGGATGGTCTAGTAGTGATTAATTTTTTCAAACAACTAAAATTCATCTTTAAACATCAAATTATTATTTTTATTATTATTTTCCATTCTTATGAGATTAGATTCTTTCTAAAACATATAGATACATCCTGAACTTAGTAAGTGGAGTTTTGGCCATTAAGTTAAAAAGCAAATACTTTTCTAAAGACAAAAAGTATGGTAGCAACAAACAAAGAACCAAGAGAAAGATCCCGCTATTTCCCTCCCCCCTGCCCGAAGTCACAGCCGCCACACCCATGCAGGGCCTGGGGCTGAGCCCAGGCTGTACACTCACCTGCTTGGCGGCGGCCTGGCTCGGAGGTAAGGAGCCTGCCGGGAGCACGGGCGCACTGCCGGGGCCGCAGAGCTCAGGGAAGGGGTTGGGGATGGCCGGCAGCGACGAGGTTCTGAACTGCTGGTCTTCCTCCTGAAGGCGTCTGGGGTGCAAGAGACAAGTGCTCATTAAAGCTGCCACTGCCCACATGACCCGGTGTTGTCACTGCTGGGGATACCCCCAAAATAAACGAAATCAGGGCTCCTAGGGGATACTGGTGGTGCGCCTGTGTTCACAGCAGCAGGGCTCACAACAGCCAAACGGTGGAAGTGACCCAGTGTCCCTCAGCAGAATAGAAAAATGAAATGTGGCGTATCCACACATGGAATACGACTCAGCCACAAAAGGCTGGGAATAGCGACATATACCACATGGGTGAACCTGAGTGAAATAAGCCGGTCACAAAAAAGATAAACACTCCATAATGCCACTTATATGAGGTACATAGGTACCTTCACAGAAAGTAGAAGGGCGGCCGCCAGGGGCTGAAGGCAGGGGAGGTGCTGTTTAATGGGAACAGGTTTTTCAGTTCTACAAGACGAAAAAGTTCTGGAGATTGCACAGCCATTGTGAGTGCACATCACTACTGACCGGTACACTTAGAAATAGTTAATATGGTGAATTTTATGTTATATGTGTTTTACCACAACTAAAAATAAAAAAATTTAAACGTTGTCCTTCTTTGACCCAGAGGGGTACCAATTCCCTCTTTCATTAAACATCTTGGGATGGGGAAGCCACAGGTGTGCCGTCCCACCTGTGCACTCACGTCTGCAACAATGCTTACTTGGCCCACGATGGGTAGTTGGCATTTGCTCCAAATACCTCATCAGTTCCGTTCAGTGAATACCTGATGTGTGAAAAGGTTTTGTAAATAGGAGCATTTTCCTGAGAACAAGTATTTTTCACTGTCCTTGAAGTGAACATTTATCTAACAAACAAAAACATGAGAAGAGGCTCTGTGTTCCCATCTGAATTATGGAATGAATGCTTATTTATATGAAAAGGCTGTTGATACTGAATTGATTAAAATTATAGCTTCATGTATCTATCCTCCCAGAGCACCCGAGTCTGTCTGTCACCTTAGAAATACCCGGCCAAATCTGCCCCAGCTCTATACTCCTTGTACTTCTGCAGGGCCACCTGCTGCCTCCTCCAAAAAATACAAAACTAACTTGTCATACAACTAAGCAAAACAAGCACAGGGTGACAAATCAGATGCAATTATGAAAGGGGCAGAGAAATCAAGTTCAAAGACAAGGCAAGACCAATGCCAAGTACCCTAAACTTCCGCCCACATCTCCAGGAATTGCCTGGGAACACGACCTCTGCCCTGCCCCTGAGCCAACACCACTCTGTCCACACTCTACCTTCGGGGAGAGGGTGCACACCTGGAGCTGCGGGCTTGGCCCTCACCTCTTTCTGCTCAGCATTCCCAATCCTTCTCCTGGCTTAGACACACCTCAGAAACCCCTCGTAGGCAGCGCCTTCAAACAATTTTCTTTTCTGACTATTTTTACAATTTGACAAAGTCAAGAATCCATTTGTTTCCTAGGAGATTTGCCACTAGATAATGTCACTTTGACCATTTTTTCTCTTTTTACCAGCTGACCTTGATTTGAAAGAAGGCCTGCCTAGTCATCCTGCGGAGACCAGGAAATGACGCACTGATTCAGGAACACGAGAACGCACATGGCATGAATGCAGGAAACCAGTGCCGTGAACACAGGAAGGCCGTTCCTCTGATGGCCTGGGGACATGCCAGAAAGTTTATTTCACTGTTAACAAATCCCACTCTTCCCAAAACAGCTTTGGCCTTGGCAAAGCATCCAAATGACGTGTCTGCCCCTTGTTGTACAGGACATGACACAGGGAGCAGTGGCCAGTACCACGCTCAGTTTGTTCCAGCCCACGGCCTAAACCAGTGACATAACCCCAAAGAAAGACAGTTTCATTTCTGTTTTGACTTTCAGAACAACATTCGGACGTTTTGGTGTTTTAGTTGTTCAAAAAAGCTTCTCTTTTTATGGGGTTGTTCTGAGCATTTTAAAGTCCTGTGTTGATTTTATCATAGTTAACAGATAGCGCCTGAAGCAAAACTACAGAGCATGACACGAAGACAGAAAACCCCCTGGTGGAGAGGCCCACAATGAAAGGGCAGATCCTGATGATCACAAAAGGAAAATGACCATGGGGATGGTGACAAGAACGACAAGAACTGCAGGGGGTGGGGTGGGGGGCTGGGAGTGGGGCTCCCGCTGCTCCATGCCTTTATCCCACCTGTGCATTTGTCCAGGTTAGAGCACACCTGCAGCCCCCATTTGCCTCACCTAAGCCCCTCTTTCCCCTTCAAGAATTGGCTCCACCAGCGACCCTTGCCCGAGCTTCTACTCTGCACACCCGCCTCCGTCCCCGTCTGCTCGGACGCTCGGCACTCACAGGGACTTCCTCCACGGTTGGACCATGTCCTGTGGACCTCTGGTACCAGCCACCACCCTTAGCCTGGGTCCTCAGCCGGCTTCCTGCTCACCAGGCGTGGACCCAGTCACCTCCCGGCTGAGCCTCAGTTTCCTCACCTGGGCAGTGAGGGGCACCCGTGCCACCTGCTTCGAGGCTGCGGAGATTCTGACAACAGCCAACAAGTGCCGAGTGAGCACAGTGAGCACGCGGCCTCACTTCGCAAAGCGAGTCTGCGATTCTAGTCTCCATAGTTTTACATCCGCCTGGAGGTAAGAAACAACTACTTATCTGAGAGAGCACCAGCGAGAAGAGGCTGGGCCCAAAAGCAGTGCCTGTCACCCTGCAGGGAGAGGGCTTTGCAACCGCAGAGCAGGCCTCCCTCTCTGGGACAGGCAGCCCCGGGCTTGAGAGCACAAGCGTGGTCAAGACTCGAGGCTAAGGGTCCGGGCAGCTGGCTCTGGCAGGGAGCCAGGCTTTTTGGCACCAGCAGCCTCCATGGACCCACCCTGGGGCACCTATGCCAGGTGGCAGCAACCACATCCTCCCAGGGGGCCCCAAGGCCACCATGAATGGTACCCCAGAGATGCCGGGACCCAGAGAAGCTCACGGGAGAAAAGAGCTCTCCCTCTAGAGCCTACTCCTTGGGGCCTGAGAACAAGGGGCCATGCTCTCCAGGACAGGTGTCGATTTAACTTTGGTGGAACGAAATGCAGGAAGCCTGAGTGGCCACCAACCACAGGCCCCAGGGTCAGCTCCCAAGGGGAGAGCAGCCCACCTGGCACAAGGCCGCTGTCTGGGCTGCAGAAGGCTGAAGATGTCAGACAGGGAAAGAAACCTCTTAGAAGGTTTCTGGAAGCAAGGAATGGAGCTCCCCGGAAGATGCAGTGCTGAGAAAGGAGCCATCAGAAGCCTAGCCCGACAGCAGCTGGTGAGGGAAAGGATAAACCCCGTCAGAGACTGCTCAAGTGCCCCCGAAAAGTCCGAGAGCGATAGGTGGCCTCTGCCCGTCCCATGTGGCCTGGGGTAGAGAGGAGCAGAGCCGCCTGGTTCTCAGCCTGGCCTCGCAAAGACCAGATTCAGTGCTCAGGTGCCCTTGACAGCTGCCCTTCAACACGCCTGTCTGCCGCGCTCTCCAGACACGCTCCGCTCAGGTGCCCCAGACAAAATCCGAGTTACCCCCACACACTCGGGCTCTCGGCACCCTCTGGAAATTCAAGGCAGACAAACCCAGTTGCTCTTCCTCGGTGGTACACGCAGAGCCAGCCTCCTCCCTCCTCCTGGGTCAGCACCACCACCTCCAGCTTGTGGGCTCCTGAGACAGCTTCCAAATTGGCAATGCTCTGCCCCTTTGCTGCCCTCAGACCCCGGGCAGCCAGAAGGATGTTGCTAAAACCCAGACCCAGTCTCCTTGCCCGCCTGCCCAAAACCACCCCCGTCTTGCCCTGGGAAGGGCACACAAAGCCCTGCAGACATGCTCCTATCTCCGCATGGGGCCTGCTAGGCAGGCCTCTCCCTTTACCTATCCGAGCTCCTGCTACCCCTGGGCAACCAGTGCGGAGATCTGCCACTGCCACACTACCTCCCAATGTCCCCAGCAAGTTCCTGGCTCCACCCTCCCCACTCCACAGAGAAGCTGTCTCCCTCCTTAGTGCCCTGGGGAACATGGCAAAAATGCAGCTCTGAAAAGCCCCAGGGGACACAGTTGCTGCTGGTCTCCGGACCCTACTCGGCATCCAGGACTTGCAGAACTAATTGCATGGCCTTTCCCTCCTTCTTCCCAGAGCATTTTCCTCTGATGGCTTTCCTGCACGCCCTTCCACCACCACCTAGCGCGGAGCCTGGCCACACAGGTGTTCAGTGAAGGGACCAGAACTGACCTGGGTCCCTAGTGCAACCCAAGTGCTGCGTAGTAGGCAGCCTGCCACTCGTGCTCAGCACATCCGTTATCCCATCAAAGGAATTTATCAGCCTCCTGAGTGTGCACAGCCAACACCACCCCTCCCAGCACCATTTCACTCCCCCCCCACCCCCGAGAGCAGTGTCCTGTCTCTGCTGACAGCTCTGACTCTCAGATGCTCCTTCAAGATGCAGGGCCCACCTGACGGCCGTGATGTGCACGGGCTGGGAGCGCTGCACTCTCTGCCTCGGGGACGGCTGCGGCTGCACGGGCCGAGCGCCAGGGGCCCGTGGCTGGCTGCGGGGGTGCTGGCCATTCTGCAGGAGGGGCACTGTGTCTGACTGCATGCTGCAAGTCGAGTACAGGCTCTCCAGGGATGTGTTCATATCATTCATCAGGGCTTCCAGGTCCACGTCATCCTCTGAAAATGAAAAGGTAAGAGCAAAAAAGGTGGTTTAGCAGAGGTGAGGAATCATGGCCAAATATGCATATTGGTGATCAAGTTCCACAACTCAACAATCTTTTTCAAATACTTAGGGGGTGGAGGAGCACTACTGAGAGCAGATGAACGTCTGTAAGGAAGCATATGCATTACATTTATTAGCAATGATTGACACTGCAGAGGCAGTGCAGTGACTATACTTCGACTGCAGTCCACCTGTCTCTAAAGGACCTCCACTCGAGCCCCTGCTCAGCTCACTCCTGTGCCCTTCTCTCCTCCCCACCCCCATTGGGGCCACACACGGCCACAGCTGCAGAGCGTGGCCCCACTGGCCCGGGCCCAGCTAGCTGGACAACATGCGTCCTCTGTGATTAGGGGTCTCCCTCCCTGAGACTCTAAAAGTAAAACAAAGAGATAGGAACAGAGCAGCACCCAGCACTGACACTAGCCTGGCCCAGTAAGGCTAAATGGTGGCCAATGCCACAGCAGAGCCTTGCTGTGTGGTGGCTGCTACAACATGGACCTGTGGACTTCTAGGTGCCCACCTTCTCCCCCGACTGGCCAGAGAGCCGAAGGAAGCCCGTCTTCCCAGAAGAAGGCGGCATGAGGCAGACATGGAGAGAGAAGCCCCTGGGGCACAAGGAGCAAACAAGAGAGAATGGGATGAGCGTGCAGACTGTGATGGTTAATTTATGTGTCAACTTGGCTGGGCCATGGTACCCTGTCTTTGGTTAAACACCAGACAGATGTTGCTGTGAAGGTATTTTTTAGATGCAATTAACATTTCAATCAATAGACCTGAACACAGCAGACTGCCCTCCCTAATGCAGGTGGGCCGCATTCCATCAGGTGAAGACCTGAACAGAGAAAGACGGACCACCCAGGAAGAAGGTGGCGTTCTGCCTCCAGAATGAACTGCAACTTCCCTGGGTCTCTGGCCGGCCAGCCTGCCCTGCAGATTTTAGACTTGCCAAACTCCACAATCTCATGAGCTGATTCCTAAAACACGACCCAGCACACACAGAGGTGGGGAGGGGACAGGCGGCTGGCACCCGGGGCTGTGCAGCCTTGGGCGAGGGCAGTGGGCTGGCTGGGCTCCGGTGCTCACCAAGGCCAGGCTGCACTCCTGCTCCAGGAGATCTGCGCAACATGCCCCCATCCCAGTAAGAATTTTCTTGATGTTATGCTCAAGCTAGTTTGAATGGGTTCTGTGTTTGTGGCCCAGTACATTTTAACAATCCTGACTCCTTTTTTTCCTGCATTTTCAGATCTGTCACGTTTTAACAACATGCCAGATCACGCCTGAGGCTCCTGTAATTCATCCTCTAATTTGCTCCCAGAATGACACCCACATGACACACAGGACCAGGGTCACAGACAGCAAGACCCCTCCCTACGGAAGGCTCCAGCTCCTGGCTGGCGGAAGGACAGCAGAGACGGGCCTGAGCGCCCCGCCCCGCCCCGCCCTGCCCTGCAGCTCCGGCCAGGTTTCTTCAAGTCTGATACGAGGCTGGCAATAGAGCCCCCCATGGGAGGACTGCAAGGATTAAGCCAGTTATTACCTGCTTTATGACAGAGCCTGGCACGTAGCAAACAGTAATATGCTGTTCATTAGCTCCGTTGCACCTGTTCCTTACAAAATAATATGAAGTGGTCATCATTAACCTGGTGAACAGCTGAGGAAACAGGCCTGAAGGAACGAAATAACCTGCCCAAGATCACACATGCCGTGAAGAGTGAACCTGAAATTTGAAAACCAGTTTTGCAGCCACTCACTTGCCCTCGCCAGGTGTGTGCTCAATAAATGAACTCCCAGAACCTTCCGGGACACTCTGCCCTTCCTGCCTCTCCTGGTGCCCATAAACCCGTCTCAGGAGGCCTTGCTTTGGCTTCCTTGTGTCTCAAGGCTAAAGGACACAACAAGACAAGATGCAGTGAAACCAAATGACAACACAAACCAGCTTAAGGGAGGCTGGCAGCCCCAGGAGTGCAGATGGTGTGGAGGGGCAGGGTTGCCTAGTGGTTAGTGCCTGGGCATCTGTGGTGGGAGGGGGCGTGGAGGCAGGAGGGAAAGTTCGGACAGAAATAGAAAGGCCACAGACCCTCCCGCCCTCTGAAGGGGGTGGGAGGGGTTCCATGGTGGGTTTCAGGCAGACCTCGCCCAGGGTCACCAAGAGAGACAGACAGAGCGGAGGGGGGCACAGACGGGAGGCAGGGCCCGGCGGTATGCTCCGCAGACCCCTGCTGGGATAAAGAACAGAGGCCACGTGCACCAAGGGGCAGTGGAAGTGGCACAGGGAGGCCAGGAGGAGGCTAGAACCGGGTGAGTGCCTGAGGGAGGTGCGGGAGTCACATGGACCCAGAGATCCCAACTGCGAGGCCAGAGCCAGGAAGCCTGGAGCAGCAAGTGCCACGGCCTGCCCGCAAGGGTGGGAGGGAAGGGGGAGGAAGAGAGATGCTGCCGGCGCTCAGGTACGAGCGGTCAAATATTAATCCCGTGCCCAGAGGTTAAAAGGACAAAAGTGCTGAACTGATAATTAATAATTACCATGTAATCAATAATTAATTTATCACAAGGTAGAACACCCCGAGTCAGCAGGTAGAACACTTGCACACAGGTGGGGCGGGGCGGCATGCCCTGCCCGTGGGGCCCTGGCCGCCAGGTCCACAGACGGCAGCGGGGCAGGGACGCCTGGCCTGCCAAGGCCGGCACAGGAGGTCACGGGCGGCCGTCTGCTGAGCACGAGCCCTCAGTGCCCTATTCACGGAGACCTTGGGCCACTCGTCCTGAAGCCGAGTATGACCTGTGCACACCAGAGTCCCCACACCCAGGCCTTCAGGGAAGTTCTGAAACCCCACTCGTCTCCTGCACTCACATCCCGCCGACAGGGACAGACGCTGAGTGTGAGCGCTGTGAACCAGCGCGTGCACATGTGCTCTTAACCCACCACATTAACAGCTCGATACTTCTTTAATGGGCCATTTAAGAATCAATACTGGGGAAACACACAGCTCACTGTAATCACAGTCAGTCTGGCCGCGTGGGAGGCCGCCAAGGCCACGCGGCTGCCGCGCTGCAGACCCCGGCAGGGCTCCCTCCCGCCTCACAGACCAAACCGGTGCGGCCCTCTCTCAGACACCCCGCTTCTGAGAAAGTGAAAGGTCACGTGCGGTTATTTTCCCCTAAGCATTTCGGGCAGCATAGAAGGCTGTCAGAATTGACAGCCCCCCAAGGTGGACAGGCCCTGGGTCTGCTGTCCTCTTCCTCCTGTTCCTTCTCTGTCAGCCAGGTTGTCCCTGGCTTGCCTCTGCAGTCAGGGCAAATGCGAAGCGATTCTGTCACGATTCCAAGTAAACAAAAGGTAAACTGGATGCCCCAGTGGAAACACAAGGCGTGTCCTCAAAATGCTTTTACTCTCCTCTGAGGCGGATTACTTGTACAACTGCTTTCTGCTTTAATACATTTAATCATGAGTCTTTTAAACAAGGCCAGGTTAATTTGATGACATTCACTTACGCTATAATTTTCATGAATCAAATTTAAGCACTATATCTAGATGTCTCAAACCTTCGCACTTTCCACAGCCATTAGAGCAAAAACAAAGCTTTCGAAAGAATTTAAAATGCCCTGCTCTAGAAACAACAATTTCCTGTGGGGTCCTTTAGTGTTTTACCTGTTTAGATAATAAAATCACTTATGGCTACCTGACTTTATTTAAACTTTCCTAAATTCTCCTGAGTTAGGGACCAACCGTTGAATCTTCCCACCAGGCGTTTTAAAGGGCTGATTCTAAAAGACACTTCTTCATATTCTACACCAAGTTTTTAAAAAACGTGCTACACTGAGATACTACTGAAATCACATTCAGTTCCTGCAGACATTCCCTACGGCTTCCATTCCGGCAGCCAGTCCATCCCGGAGAGGACTCTGTGTGCCTTCGCTGCGCATGTGGCCAACTGCTACATTCTTTTCCAGTCCCATGAATCCAAGTGGATCAATAATCACCCATTTATGAAAGGCTTTCTGCCGTGTAACGTCAAGTGGGAGAAGCGAGTAAACAAATGCTTTGGAAACAAATGCTCAGATTAAAAGTCTATTCAGTGCTGACTTGGTGCCAAAGTATTTTCCATGAGGCTGCCCCTCTGGGAGGAATACTGAAAGGGGAAGAAGAAATGGTTTATATATAAAAATTTCACTTCATGTGGATTTATAAGAATGTATTTACTGCACAAATATAGGTGAAACAACATGGCTGTCAATCAAGCTATTAATAGCTATTTTCCTTCCTTAAATAGCTCACACCAAAACTGGGCATTGACTTTGTCCCAAATATGTGAGTAGCTCATCTGATCTCAAATTCACATGTCATCTAGTTTCACCTTCATTGGCAGTCTAGTTTAGTTCTAAAATAGAAATAAATTCAGGGAAACAAATTTGCATTTGGCTCCTAAATCATTACAAGTTTATGTGTCCATAAACCCAGCTAGGTGTGCTGACGAGGAAAAGGCAGGGAGAAGAGAGGGAAACTGTGCTGGAAGGAGGACCCAATTTAGGCCCGCCTCTCGGCCCCAACACACACTGGTTTACAGCGCCACCTGGTGTCTGCTTTACACGATTCGGAGACTAAAGCCGACATTGGAGTCATCAAATCATTTTAATCAATTACCTTGGCGCCTTAAGACAAGCTATTTGCAATACCTGTTTAGGAAGCATCTGTCAGTGTGCACGTCTACCTGCCTTCTCCACTCCTGTCTTTCCTCCCATTTTTATACAGAAGGGACACCCTGTTAATAAATGGCTGTGGGGCAGGGGAGGGGGTATATTACTAAGGAAGAGTAGATTCAGTCCCTGAGAAGAAAAAAATAAGACAGTACTTTACACGAAAAGTCCATAACACATATGCAAAAGCCAAAGTTCTCACACATTTCTATCTGTAAAAGAACCAAATACCAGGCTGCAACAGCATTTTAAACCTAGA